AGAGGAGAGCAGTGGAGAAAGGGAAAGAAAGGAGAGGGGCGGAGGAGGTGATGATAAAAGGAGGAGATGAGATAAGAAAAAGAGGAGAGAGGGTAGAAGTCAGGTGACAAGAGGAGAAGAGGAGTGGTAGGGAGAGGAGAGACACACTATTAATGTCCATCTCTACAGTGTCATTCTGTGTTAGTGACAAGTTCTGACCACCATCCTGTTATTATTTCAGTATAAGGCAGACTACTTTCTTCAGGGTCTGTGATACACACATTAAGTTTTATGATAGAATGTCACAAGATGAATAGTGTGAAAAAATAAACAATAAACTGAATTGCCTTAGAAACAAATTAAAAATGTTGGAGGGCAGAATTTTAATATTCCTTAAATCATTTAACACCACACTATTCATAAGTCAGAATATGAAATTTAATTACCTTTTTTTTGATAAAGTGCTGATTGTGGTGTGTAAATCTGCAGACCTCTGCTATCTTCAGCAGTTGTATTTTGCTCATAGTAATTTTTACTCCTGTCCTCCTGACCTATCATATTAGATATGACAACTGCAGGCGAGGCAAGACAGGTAGGATATGCTGAATAATGTTCTCTCATAGACTCAGACCTCCTCTGCTAGTCAAGCGGAAAACACCTTGCCATGCTGTAACAAGGAGGGATATGATTATCACTTCACCCAATCATATTCTGCTGAGGATTTCAGCCACACAAATTATCATCCTTTTTAGAATTTATATTTCATTTACATTCTGTAAGTCTGTAAAAATCCAAACATTGGGTGTTTAGGTTCATCACCAGTTACCTTTTATTTCCCAAAACGGTGTATTCCAGTTCATAATATATAATTGAAAAATAGAAGTCAAATAAAGTGTAGTGTATAACAGACCACAGGATATCCTAAAACCAAATGGATGTATGTCTGAGTTTGACACAGCCAAAAGTGCAATTTATTTAGTTTCAACACAGTTTTGTTGATTGACAACCCCCATGACGCCATCAATGTTTCTCTTCCGCGAATATTTTTCTGCTGCAGCTTCAAAGCCTCTGCATTAAGGTTCATTTCAGCCCTTTCTGCTTTATGCTGTTGTGATGTCCTATAGGCTTCAAGTACAATTGGCTTGTGTTCAATTTAATGCATTTGCCTTTGAGACTGAGCAGACATGTGTTCACACTGAGGTACTTGATGAACACACACACATAGGTAAACACACACGCGCAGCCATAGGCCTATTGAATTGCACACGAGAGAACACTGAGGAACATTTGTTGAGGGAGTCAGTCAGAGATAACGAACATCATATTAATGAATGCCTTACTCATTCTCTCTGCTCCTTCTTCTCTCTTCTTTTCTTTCGTAGCTCTCTCGATACATGACTCTCTCTCTCTCTCTCACTTCCCCTCTCACTGTCTGTCTCTTTGCCTCCAATCCCTCTCTATCCCCAGATCTCTCTTGCTCGCTCTCTGCCTCTCTCTCTCTCTCTCTCTGTTTCCCTTTTGATGTTGCACTCTCTCAACCTCTCTCTCTCACTTGCGATCCTTTTCTATTTCCTGCTCCTCTGTAACTCAGGGACCCCCACTACCTCCACCTCCCCACCACCATCTCTCTTTCTTTTCTATAAACTTTGTGCTGTCGGGCAATTAATCATTTTTCCGAGGCCTCGTTATTTTTTATAAGGGAGCGGCTGACCTCGGATATGGGCACCCAGTCCTGTGCCAGCTGGAAATGACATCACCCGTCTCTCCCCTCCTTCTCTCTCTCTCTCTCTCACTCTCTCTCTCTCTCTCTCTCCCCGTCTCCAATCTCCCCTCTGCCTTTCCCCCTGCATTTTAAAAAACCATAAACAGTTTTCTCTCCTTCCATACTGTCTCTCACTAGGCTTTATATCTCTGCTGCTTGCCCAGATATGCAAATATACAGAATCACCCTCACTTATTTCAGTGACTTAATTGCAAAGTTAAAGCAAATATGGCTAAGTACTATACTAAATATAATTTCCTGTACAAAAGGCTCATGAATCTATCATGTGAAACCATTTTCTATAGGATATTTTCAACCAGGCAAATGTGGTTTTCATGTGTGAAAACATGCGTTTCACAGTTGCCCTTCCTTTTCTATGGATCTCTCCTTGCTCCTTTGCCTCATGGTGTACTGACGGCTCCATCCTCGTGGTATTTTACCTGCCTCACTATACTCTCAAGAACCACGATGCAGCTGTGCAGTGGCAGTAACAGGCTTCTCTGTCTCTCTCTCCATCCCTCTGCTCTCTCCCTCTCACAATGCTCCTCTAGGCTGTGATCAGATAGGAGCTTTATTCTTCTGCTCAAATGCAAAGTGCAGCTGTTTGCTTTGCTAGCTGTAGAGAGAGCAAAAGCTCATGGGACGGTCACATTATTCCTGTTGCCATGCAGCACAAAGTTTGACAGCAACTTGCAAGTTACTGGTTAGCATTAGCTGGCTTATAACATATTGGATGCACATGAAAACAGAGATGAGTCAGCGATTGCTTTGCTTGTTGTTTAAGACGAATGACTGAGGGAGTTCCAGGTTTCCTCAGTAACCTTAAGAATTATTCATTTTCATTAGTATTTCATTCATGAAATAAAGCGAATTAATGTTGGGAGAAGAAAAACTCTATTAATTTTCTTATATAGACCAAATACTTAATCATTTAACCTTTCTTAGATGCAATCTTTGGTACAGCCTATTAACTTATGTGACCTTTACATTAAAAAAGTTCAGGAACATCAATACTATGTAATAAACATGTGAGGCAATTCCAAGGGAATCATTTGACAAATTTTGCAACCAAGCCCAGCAAGTCTGGGAATGTTTCCATGATTGAGCTGCTATGAAGCGAATGAACTGTAGATTAACAAGACTGCAACACGTACTGATTGTTTCACAGTGCATTGGCTTTAATATTCCAACATGCGTTTCTTTTCTGATGTGCATGTATGTGTGCATGTGTATGTGAGAGAGAGTTTGTGTATGAAACAGTTTGTTCTTTCATACATACATACATACATACATACATACATACATTCCAGCTGGTCATTAGACCTTGCACAAGCCATTCATGCATCTATTACTGAGCCATTAACCCCCATCTTTTCACTCGCTTGCTGGAGGGATTCATTCTCACTGCTTGTTTTGCTGTAACATATCAGCACACAAATGGCCATCTACCATAACATCTACCTCAGTGTCCAATTACATTGATTTTGTAATCAGTGTTTTTCATACCTGCTTGTAAGGTTATACATTAGCACTCCCTGCTTTGCTGAGAATGTCCAGTACTATTTTCAATGCATATGTGTGTGTTGTGCATGTTATTGTGCATGTTATGGAATGAGATGTTCCAAGGGAACTGACTTTCAAGAATGAAATAAATTGGCTTTTTTGTCTGTATTAGCTTTTTTTTCTTAATTTAAGGCTTTGAACAGGTCTATCAGCACATTTCCAATACAATTTATTACCTGGGAGTACTATTATGTGTCTAAGAGCTGAATTGAGTCAAACGAGTGTGTACCACCTCAGTAGGCATGCAATCTAAAAGACAGACAGGAAGCCTTTTTTGCACATCAGAGAGTGAATGTAACAAAGTAAACTAGATTAGGCACTTCCTCTCTGTTGCCTCTGGGTTATAGATACAGGGAATTATGCCAAGTAGCCAGAAAAGTAGAAAACCATGTCCAATGCAATGCAATTCAGTACAATATCCATTGTGATACTTAAAGGCGTAATGGTTATTTTTTGCTGAGAGTGTGTTAAGGTAATGGGGTAGTAGTTTCTTGTGGTGTTGCATTGGACTGCATGATACTTAAAGGTGTATAACATCTGTATACATGTGTCAATTACAGTATCAAATAAATTAAAAATCCACAGTCTGCACTTAGGGGGATGAAGGTAGTGACTACTCCAGCCACAGAAACTCTGGCGTTTCCGATTGATGGCAAATGACCCTAACACAGGTGCTCTAAGTGTGAAAAGTTTTATGCACTCACACAATATTACACACAATATTTATTGCAAGGCTAATGTACTGCATTACATTAGTCACGAATTGCTTAGGTGTAATTTCATGGGGAGACAGGGAGACAAGTCATCCCCAATGGTTTCACATAAATCATTTGTCCCCCTCAATTAACTTTATCAAGTGTCTGTGACAAACTCACCCCTCCCAGAACATATGAGCAAGAGAAACAGAGAGACAAAACTCTGCGGTCCTTGGCTCAGGCATCACATTCATTCACACTTTTGACAAATTGCAGGCCCAGGTGCAGACCAGGAACTTAATCAGGGGGAAACTTTCACTCAGTCACTTGTTCTGAGACTGAAACACATTCACAATAGAAAATTAACCAAATGAATTAATCTACAAAATGGCAGCATGTTGATTAAAATAATATTGCTAATCTTGTATGGTGACTTCTGATGAATATTCATAGACAACTCTCAGTCAGCTGATGTGGTTCAGAAAACCCAACCTAACATGGTGGTTTCTGCTTTGGATTCCAACCAGAAACTATATGCAATTATTTATACAATCAAATCAATTAAGTCAATAATCATTGACAAAGCCACTTGATACTGCTTTTTGTTGTTGCTTTTTTTCTTTTTATCATACAGATCAGAATTAGGCCAACAGCCCTGTTGTCAATACACTGTTTAGGTCAGGATGTTAAGTGACAAAGTATTATCTAGTCCTACATACTACAATGTACGCAGTGTAATAACATTACATATTTGTAAATATCAGGCTGTAATTACTGTGGCCTTAGCAGTTTCCATTAGTCTACCACTTGTCTAATGTGTTATTAGTTGTTACTAGTGTGTTACTATCATGTACAATCTATGTACACTCTATGGTTAGTATAACATTTCTGTCAGTAGCGCTGGCAGGCTCAAAAACTACAAAACCCAGAGGCGTCGGCGCTTCAATCCTCTTTACTCTGATTGGTCGAGACAAAATCCAATCCGCGCGCGGAGACGTGTCTCTCAGTCAGAGCATCCTTCCGTCATGGCGTCTTTTTGGACGAAAACCTCCGCTAACCTGTCGGTCCTGTCGGTTTTCTTCCTGCTGCTGATATGTCTGCCACCCGGGGGAGGACAGAAGAAGAAGGAGGTAACGATTCAACCGTCTGAATTAATTTTTCGGCGAATATTGTTGTGTTGTATAATGAAAGGGGTGTACAGGTTGAATCTGCTGCTGTGCGTTAAACTCGTGAGGGTTAGCCAGAATAGACAGGAAGTTAGTCGCGGCTAATCTCTGGTCATCTAGTCTCTGGGGAAAAATAATTGCTACTCATATTATGTAAATGAAAAAGACACTGCTTACATATTGTCTTTTTAATATTTTGTGGTGTGTGACTGAGCTCTACTCGCTTTCTGCATCAAATATACGTACACGGTGGTCAGGATAGCAAGCTAACCAGTTAATGTAGCCTAGCTACTGTATTGTAGATATAGTAGGCTATATTGTTATAAACGCTGCTGTGTGGGGGAGCACCACTAACATATCCCTACGTGTTTACATTGTTTATTCTTTGAGAGAGATTGAGATTAGCTTCACTACTTCAGAACATTACTGCATTATCGCCAACAATGATTTTATTTTGAAAATCGTGAATACAGGAAGTGCTGTGTTTTACTTCTCGGTAGCTTAATAGTGATGTTAGATGATCCTTGCGATAATCACACAATAATCACAGTAATGGCTAGCTGCCTGCTACCCTTATTTCAGGTTGCTGCACAGCTCCGGAACAGCTGCATTTCACTACTGCTTGTTTAGTGTGAGAGGCTGTCTTGCGGTCATTTTATTGAGGTGAAAGTAGGTCTGTTTCAGCTGAGGAGGAAGCTGTTATGGCTTGCTTGCTCGATATGACATTTGTCGCTGAGCTGTAAAGGCTGTGTCTCTTCACCTGCTTGTAAGCTTTGTGAATCGAACGTAGTGGCTCATGATGTTAGCAATATGCACCCTTATGATAGTATTGTCACTCATAATCAGTATGTATTGGTGATAGGTTTGCATCTTGCGGTGTGACAGCAAGATGAGCGGGTGCTATTTTGTATGGGAGGCCCAAAAGAGAATGAAATCTGTTACATAGAGAAGTTGTGATGATTGAACAGTGGTAATCTTTGTGATTATTAATCAGATTTATTGATATGTCCATGCATGCTCTGATCTTTTTAAAACAATTGGAGTAAACGCCACTATCTGTCATTCATGTAGTACTTTATCATGTATGTTTATTTGATGACATGAAACAGCATCTTTATTTTATTAGAGTATGTGCTGGTGATTCCTGCTTTTTGTTATTGATATTTGTTATAGATAATTTTCTTTATTTTAAATCATAGACATTGCTTCATATACTATACTATACTATACTATACTATATACAGTATATACTATACTATATGTTTTAACATGAAAGTACTTTTGAAGGTACATGAAGGTACTTTTTTTTACCTGTGAGACCCACATTTTGGTGCCATTTTGGCATCTAAAACGAACATCTTCTGTGATGTACAAACGTCAGATTTCACACATTTATTTAAAAAGAAATAAAAAGTGTGTCCTCATCATAGTTTAGTAATGCACCTGCTAATGATAGGTCCTAATGCTCTGTGTGGCACCTCTCCTACATGGTTTGTGACAGCACTTTTAGCTGAAATGGCAACCACATTGGATGGTAGCACTGGAAATGGTTCCTGCATTCAGTATTGTAGCTGTGCAGACAAGAGTGTGAAGAGAAACACAGTGAAGACAGAAGCATCACATTGCTCTGCTCAGGTTTCCAGTTAGATAATTTTGCGATAACACTACAAAATCTTTGTAGTCAACCATGCTGTTATCATACACTGCCACAGCAAATGAAAAAGTCAGTTGCTTCACCTGTTAACATGAGGTTCTAATCTGGGGATGGTCGACATTTAGTGGGCAGCCTTAGTTTGTTTTAATATCGTGTTATGGACCAAGGGCTTTGAACCAAGTCACAGTGCTGTTGTGACTTTACAGTTGCAACGCCTCATCAACACCTTTCTTCTCAGCTGCTTTTGCATATAAATAGAAATTTGATTGAGTGGACAAATTGTGGAATGAATAAATGAAGGAGTACATGACAGGTGAACAAATATTTGAATGAATAAAGTATTGAATATGCCAACAAATGAATGAACAAAGAGCTGACTGAGTGGACGAATAACCTGATGAATAAATGGACAGATTAACCATTGATGGAAAAGCATTTGAATGAGTGGGCAAATTGATGAATATAATTGAGACTGACATATTTGCCCTGCAGTTCAATGTAAACACTGCATTTTTTCTATCACTGATTTTGATGGCTTGCGTGATGTATGTGTAATTAATACGTTATAATCTTACTTCTTGTAATTTTGACATTTAGGAGACTTTCTCAGATAAAACAGCGACATCTTTAGTCATGTTTATTTTCTTATTACCTGCATCAGGGAGTTATAGTATAGACACGGGGAACATTTTCATTTAGAATGATTATGTAAAATCAAAATTCATTTGAATTAGAATTATTTATTAGATAGATAGATATAAATTATTTATTAGAATTACAAAAATTTCTAAAAATATAACATATCGTTATGTCTTGCAAAATGAAACACAAAGTGAAGACTTAAATGGTATGTCTCTGTCAACGCTTTGTGGTAAAAATCAAAAAGCACTGTCTCTAACACTTGCCATTAGAAGTTTAAAACTTCAGTTTTACTTTCATTAATGAATACTTCCTATTTTAAACTCTTTTAACCCAGGGACAGTCTGCTAACATCAGTGCTTATTTTCAGCAATGCCTCCCTTCACATTCACAAAAGTACACTAGGGAACTGCCCATTATAGCCACAGTCTGCTGTTAGGCAATGCCCGTCTCAAGGACACCTCTACATTATCTAATGAGTGACAGAAAAAGCATTTCTCAATCACTTACCCAACTGAAATTTATCCAGCTATTATTAGTTTGAGTCTCTGACATTGAGACAACTGTCTTTAAAACTTAAATTTAGTTAACTTTGGTCCGTCCAGTCTGAAAGATCTGAGTTTGACTCTGCACCTTGTAGCAGACAGGGACTGGGTACACATGCTTACACAAGCACACATAGACACACACACACACGCAAACACACACAGACATACTTTCAATGAGCCACAGGAGAGATATTGAGGGGTTATAATGTGAGAAATGTACTTTCCCCGTTGACTGCCTTGGGCCATGGCAGAGAAGGTGGAAGAGGCAGAGGAAGATCTTATTTAGCTGAAAATGGACAAAATGGTGAAGCAGCATTTTGTATTCATCTCACCAACTTTGGCTCTACCTCAGTGCCCTTCATCTTGCCCTGGCCACCATATTCTTTAACTCTCTAAGCTGTAGGGCCGGGTAACATGGGCTAAAAGTTATAATAAAGGCCGTCCTTTAACATCAGTTATATCAGTATTTAAATCCTGAGTTAGTTTTCAAAGCACTGTATATTTATGTGTTTATGTGTCCCATTTCCTCTCCCAGTTTCATCAGTTAGTCAATCATTATAATAATTAAATTACTGGTTTAACAATATGATAACTATGTAATTATTATAATGGTCTAACCATATATGGTTAGAATGACAGCTACATGGTAAGCTAGATCATGTCTTTTTTTCACTGGCACACTTAATGCATTTGCAGTCCAGTCTACCTAAAGGGGAAGGGTTGAGAAAGAGCAGAAGAGACTTTTGATTTAAAAACATTGGTGTCATTTTGTTTTGATGTCAAGTAGGAATTGCTGCTGTTTGGATTCATTTTTGTTGGCCACTTTTATAGTTTTACTGCTCATCTAACAGATAGGAACCTAAGGCCAGGAACACACTGGATGCGTGTCGTGTGTGTGGTGGCTGCAGAATTTTGGTGCCCATGTTAATGGGTTAGAGCATCATGGCTGCGTAGCATGATCTAGAGATTCAGCCTCTCGCCTATTTTTCACGTGTGATGTGTGCGTCTCCCAGTAGAAATAGAGAAAAGACCTGTTGATGTCATATTGACACCATACCAGCAACATTACATGAAACTGACACTATCCACTAGGGATGCCGCAATCACGTTTTTTGCTGCTAGAGCTGGCTGTAGCAGCAACGCAGCAGAGATGCAGCCGGTGTGAACACACATTCGTACTTCCCTGCAGCACTTCAGCATTGTCAGCCGCCAAGCTCATGCAACGCAGGCAATGTTTTCCTGCCGTAACTGTGTTTGTATTTACTCTTATTTGTCACACTTTAAGCAAGCAGAGTGTAAGACCAATTCATATCAAGCAAGGACATTGGTCTTGGTGGCTAATTTAATGTTGTCTACAGGAGGTTACAGTTGTATTTATAAAACCATTTTTAGTTGTGTAATGTCAATTGACTCTGTAATGTTGATTCACAATTTCTTTGTTTTTCACCAAAATCAAATGGGACCAAAACACTGCTGGGAAGGTAATGAAATCTAACAAAGTAAGGAGGCACAACTACAAGTCCTCTACATGAAAAAGCAGTAGAAAGTGTTGAGTTTGTGTTACTGGTGCAAGGAATGAATGGTTTCACTACAACTCTGGATTAAATGCATTGGTGCCTCTGTCTGTCAAGAGCAGGAAAGAAGGAGAGAAACAAAACTCTCCATAGCCATTCTACTTCATAGCGGCATGCTAGTCTTTTAAATACCTCCCATCGTTGCCTGCATGAAATCACATCTTCAGCAAATCAGTTAACTGACAGAGTTCAGTTGAGGGTGGTCACTGTCACACACTGGCTTCGTAAGGGCAGAGTGTGTTGCCTTGGGAATCTTGCTTCATGAGTTTGCAATGGAATTTCAGATCAGCATGGTACAGTACAACAGTCTGCAGCAAAAGTGTGCTGTATCATGCTGATGGAAAATGGTATTACTGTCAGAGCCAGACCTCAGAGCACTGATAGTGACAGTTTTTGGCCTATGTTATTTATGCCCTAGGAAGTTTAATGTGAAAGAAAGCACAGGAAACTTCCTTTTTTCCTTATTTTCCTTTCCTTAGAGCTAATAAGGATCGACGTACTGGTGGGTGGAATATAAAGATAAAAATGGAATCTGAAAGGGAGAAAGTT